TTGCTATTTTTGGGTGTAACTGGGACCTTGAGTACACAGTTTTGTTCCACCTCATGTACCACATGTGATGGAAATGACAATAAAGTCTCCTTGAACCTTGAGGGTTGGATTAAAGACAGACAAATAAATCAGAAGTTTTGTATTTCCACTCAACTCTTTATTCATGAAGTCCTGATCTGTCAAACCACCTCCTGCTTCATCCCTTCTTCACCCATTCCTTGATACTCAAACTTCTTCACTTGAGACAAAGATTCATCCCCAACCTGCAGAAAATGGCCTTTGTCATTTACCTTATAGTTAATCTTTTATCTGCAAAGATACAAAAAACAATTCTAAAGACAAGACATAAAAAATGGATTAATACCCAAATAAAACAAAAAGCACTAAAGCCAGTCACACAAAATGAGCCAGTTTTGAACTCTCACACTTTAGTCACCAGTGTGATCCTGTTCCCCCTTCCTCCAGTAGAGGGTTCACAGGAGTCACTAAGAAGAGTTAGAGAGGCTCTGATGAAACAGCCAGCGGTTGAAAAAGACACCTTTTATGGGCATGAGATTCAGTATGTGAGTGCTCTGAACTGGGTGTGTTGCATTGAAACGAGGTCCTGGAGGACAGTAGGCATTGCTCAGTGTGAAGGTGAAGTGCTGCATCTGTCCATGTCAAGTAAACAGGTACAACAACAACCCAGTTAGAGGCAACCAGACCAGGATTATCAAGTGAATCAACTGAAAGCACACAGTTTAAGTTTGAATTAATGGTTTTCACAATGCACTGCAGCTCAAATTTCTTCCTGTTGTCAATCAGCCTTGTCCTTGGGTTTCATTATTTTGTCTATGTTGGATAAGCTTCACAACCTGTGTTTTTGTTTCACTCCCAGACTCTGTTCTTCTGTTATTTTTCCAGTTCATAAACCCACTGGGGTTCGTTCTCACTATACTAGTGTTTCCCAGTCCTGGACAATGGAGCACACCACTCTGCATGTTTTAGATGTGTCCTTGCTTCAACACAGATGATGGGTCAATATTCAACACTGTTGCAGAACTTTAAATAACTTTGAA